AAACAATACTCAAAACATTCATAGGTCTTTTTTTTTTAAGAGAAGAAATTAAATCAGTTGGAGCAGGCATAAGCTAACTAAAATCTTATGTAGAATGAAAAGGGCTAAGGAGAAGAAGAGAGGAAAAAATACAATTGTAAAGGTATTGGCTCTAAAATATTCTTTAACTATTTTAACAAGATAACCAAGAAAGCCAGCGTCACCAAGCTGAGGATATTTTCTTTCTTAAGTACATTCCTCTGTGAAATTCTGCATATTCGGTAAGTAGTCAGTTAGTATACAGGGACATTAAAATATTCATGACGTGGCTTTGTGCCAGGGAACCGCTGAACCTCCTGCAGGAGATCCGCTTGCTCGATGGCTTTCAGGACATTTTTCTTGGACGTTTCCTGAACTTCCCCTCCCAGAAGAAACTCATCCAAAATAAAATACGCCTTCTCAAAATTAAAGATGATGTCAAGTTCACACACACTGCCAAAGTACTTGTCAAGGAGTTCCACGTAACGATGAATTATTTCCAGGGTAATGAGTTCATTGTCCTGATCCTCAATAGCACAGCAAAAGTACAGACTTGCATATCTCTTGTAAACAATCTTCAGATCTCGCCACTCGAGAAAGCAGCACATTTTAGGCTTCCGAGCCAAGACGGTTTGGACGAGTTCCCTTGTGATCTTTTTTTTTCCTCTTTGTCTGACAGGGGGACATACCATTTCTGCAGTCGCAGCTTCCCCTGACGACTAAAAAGCATCATAAACTGCACTGCGGCAGCGATGGATTCTCGGCTGGGAGCAGCGACTAAGGGGAAACCCCTGTCGCTGCGCTGAGGAGCAGCAGCCGTGTTGCTGAGGGGAGGGGACCGGCCTCATTACTCAGTTTTAACATACATTCTAGCTCTTTATAATTTTAAGAAACAGTTTAAATGCCTTAATCTAAAACATGATCTTCACGATCTGGCATTTACTCAGCTCCCTTACTTTATCTTCTATCACATTTCCTCTTGCATGTTCTTCTACTCCAGCTATTTAAAGAGGATTCTTTTCAGTGTACTTAGCTAATCCCTACTCACCCTTCAAGACAGCAGGTAACCTGAGCAGGATGCCTTTTCTGACTCCTTGAATTTGCATCCATAGCATCCTCTGTGCCCCAGCTTTTAGATCTGAACTTGCTGTGCTATCTTCATGACATTTATTAGTTTGTTGGCCTTCTCAGTTATAGGAGAGAGCCTGACTTTTCATTTGGTCCTAACAGGACTCAGAACCCAAAGACTTCTTTGAAATGATAAAAAACAAAGATATTACTTTAAGGACTAAGGTTTCCTGATTAAGGCAATGATATTTTCAATCTTTTCACATGTATGTAAAAGCTGGACAATGATAAGACGACCTAAAGAGAGCTGATGTATTTGAATTGTGGTGTTGGAAAAGAATACAGAATATGCCATGGACTACCATAAGAATAAACAAGTCTGTCTCAGGAAAAGTGTAGCCAGAATGCTCTTTAGAAATGAGGATAGATTTTTCTCCACTTCTCACTTTCAGAGAATGACCCATCTCTTTCTCTGGGACGTATCTTTGCTAATAAAACAATCTTTACTTTCACCTTAGAGGTGGGGGAAAGAAAAGAGGGTAGTAAGACTTCACCATACCTATTTTGGACCTGTTACCAGGAGGGAGAGAGAGCTATGTTGGCCTAGTGGACAGAAAGTTATGCTACCAAGCCCAAGGTAGGTGATTTTAATCTGCGGTCCTAAGGCCTGGTTCAAATTATTTTTCTGTCAAACATTCTTCTAGGTGGTATAGCACTGGTCTATGCATTACTGTACAGAGGTAACTCGTGGTTGCTGTGATGCCAAACACTGTGACACAGATGTGTCAAATGCAATAATGGTTACCCATGGTGGACAGTGTTTGCCTGGAAGCAGGAGTGGCATCCACTTCTGAAATGGCTTGCCTCGGAAACTCTATGAACAGTTTTCAGGCCTTTAGTTCATAGTGTTGCTATTAGTCGTCTACGACTCAACAGCACCTAACAACTAACACCATCAGGAGGAACCTATACCTGGAGAAGCATATCATATTGGTAAAATAGAGGGTAACAAGACCTTTAATAGGATGAACTGGTATAAAGGCTCTAATAATAATGAATTCAAGCATAATGATTCAAAGGATGGAAAAGACTAGGAAGTATTTTCTTCTGTCATCACTAGGGACCAAAACTAACTTGACAACTGACAACAATAGTATTTGAGTTATAATCTGTATCTCCTAGTTAACAAATTAGCCTTAAATGAAGAGTAATAAACAACTTACAATCATGCATAAGGAAACAATGTAAAACTCCCTCTTATGGAATCCTTAGGATTCTGTTTCATCCTTTCCTTTTCCTTAAACTTATTAAAAAATTGACAATTTCAGGGAATATTCACCACCATGAATGCAATACAAAGGGCGCAGATACAATCAAGGAATACATCATTCCCCTTTAATACAATAATGCTTTTTTTAACAGGTGCCTGTTGAAAGGAGTAAGGATTTAATCAATTTCACTACTGTAGAAAAAAAAATTAACACAAGTGTCTCATTGTAGCCAGTATCGTCATACAATCTAGCTGTGAAGGGAATGTTTATAATACTTCAGAAATTATTCCATTTTTCTCTGCTCTTCCACCTTTCCCAGCATTAGGTCTTTTTCTCAGGACCAGCCACTCCCAATATCATGCCTGAAGTATGAGAGACAAAATTTCATCATCCTTGCTTCTAAGGAGCAGTCTGCCTGCACTTCCTCTAAGATAGATTTCTTTGTTCTTTGGAAGTCCATGGGATACTCCGTATTCTTTACCACAATTTAAAAGCATCTCTGGTATCCTTATTTACTGTCCAACTTTCAGATGCCTAAGTGAAAATAATATGACTTGTATTAGATGCAATATGTATGGTTGAGTGTCAACCAATTCTTTTTTTAATATCCTAATTTTTTAAAAAATATTTCATTGGTTTGTCTACATTGTTTCATTCATGTACATAGTTTGCTTGTTGTTTTTTTATGCCCCCCCCCAAACTCTGCATCCCTGTGACTTCTCCCGTCCGGTATCTACACACCTTACAGGTTATCATTCTGTTTTGGTACAGTGACTCTCTCTATTCATTTTCTTTTAACACTTCCTGATCCTTTAGTATTGCAATTCGAGGCTTGTTCTTCCATCCTTTCAGCTTGAGAAATGCAGAATGTGTTGTTCCCTTTAGGTTTTCTAACTCCAGCTCTTGGCACATTTTGATATGATACTTTGCTTTGCCTTTCAACATCGGGTGTCAGTCCTGAAGAAGGTCCTCTTTCTCTGTACATGTGGAGCAAAGTTTTTGTCTCCTTTAGCATCTGCAGGCCAAATGTCCTATGGGTATCTCCACAAAGTCTCTGTGGCTCTTAATGTATTTCACTCCTGGTGCTTATTTCCTGAGGGTACTGAGGTACTCGCCTCACCTATATCAGTCCACCCTTCCACTATCAATCCCCTTCCTCCTAACTTTCTATGTGAATTTGGCTTGATGGTGCACAGGTGTCCTATAAATAGTCTTACAAGTGCAGAATGAGAATCACATACTGACAATCACCGACAGAGGTAGGAAGGGAAAGGTTCTGAGATTAAACTGTGATGGATGTTTCAGGACAAGTCAGATGTTATTGACAGGTGGAAATAAGTGAGAAGTTAGGAGAACAATTACGGCTTAGAAGTGCTACAGAAAGCAGTAGCATCAAGGAGGTAAAAGCAGGTAACACCATTGCTGCTAGGAGGACTGGGCCTGAAAAGTATCCCACTGATGAAGTGATATAGTATCTCACCAATGAAGTGAGGTGTTTCAATGGCAGAGGGAGGAAGAATGCAGATGAGACAGATTTCACCTCATTGGAGAATGAATGAGAACAAGAAAGGAAATAGATAATTTTGACTATAAAGGAAGATAGAAGAGTATTCCAGTAGCAGGATGAGGAAGGGTTTAGAGGTTTTGTTTTGTTTTAATGATGGGAGAATCTTGAACAGGTAGATATGGAAAGAATAAAAAGTAACAATAAGACAAACAGAAGTAAATGGAAATTTTTACTAATGTATACTCTGTGTATTAACAAGCTAAATATGTGGGCTAGATCAAGCTTACTAAGTAACTAATAGTAACTAGCTCAAAATCATTAGAACAAGGCCAGGGGCTGAGAGAACTGACCATCAGTTGCTCATATGCATGCTCACACTGAAGCCAAAGACAATGAAGCCAAGTCCATGAGGCCTAGGTAAGGCTTAGAGACAAGCCCTCATCTGTCCATTTATCATATCACTTTCATACTCTCTATGGATTTACAGTGATGTGGGAAGCTATGCCACTGGTATTTCAAATACTCAGCATGGCATTTTCAATCACCTCTTAGACATATACAATTTGAACAATGAATAAGGAACACCAAGGAAGAAGCAGTGATTTTGAAGATGGATTGTTTGCAAAGAATTTGAAATATACCATTGACTGCCATTAGCGTAAGTCTCCTCCCATGTGATTAACTGCCTATGAAAATCTGTGGGAGGGTAAGCTCTGGGTCAGCTCTGACTCGATAGCACACAACAAGAGATCTTAGAATAAATACAGCCAAACTGAAGGCTGGCAGTTCTAATCTACCAGGCACCCAGTGAGCTGAAGATGAAGCAGTCTGCATTCACAGAGATTAATAGGCTGGAAACCCCGAGGGGCAACTCTACTCTGTCCTATGAGTCGCAATGACTCAGAATCAACATATACGCTAAGGAACTCTGCTGGCTCAACATTTATTATTAAAAAGTTGATAATTCAAATCCACCCAGAGGCTTTGTAGGATAGACTTGGTCATGTACTTTAATAATGATTGTTGTTGTTAGGTGCCATTGAGGAAACTTATCAAGTTCATGTGTCAGGACTTTGTTAAGTGCCACTGAATACAACCCATAGTGACCCTATGAATAACAGATCCGAACCCTTTCCTATCCTGTGCCATCCTTACACTCTCTGACATACTTGAGCCCATTGCTGCAGTCACTGTGTCAATCCATCTCATTAATGGTCTTCCTTTTCTTTCACTAGTCTTTCCTAGCAGCATGTCCCTTTCCAAGGAAAAGCATCTCTTAGCAACATGCTCAAAGTATGTGATATGAAGCTTTACAATCTTTGCCTCCAAGAAGTATTCTGGGTGCACTTTTTCTAAGACATCTCTGTTTGTTCTTTTGGCAGTCCATGAGATGTTCAGAACTCTTCTCTAACACCAGAGCTCAAAGGTATCAATTCTTCTGTCATCCTTATTCACTGTCTAGCTCTCAGATACATAGCAAGTGAGAAAAAGACCATACTCTAAATCAGAGCACCTTAGTCTTCAAACTGACATCACTGCTCCTCAGTAATTTGGAGAGGTCCAGCCAACGCAATATGTCTTCTGACCTCCTGTAGAACTGCCCAATAGGATTTCCTTCATGGGAACAGATTTCTGAGTCTTTGTTCCTGCATTGCCAGGAAGCACAAGCAGATTCTAACCCAACCTCTTGAGCGCTTAACCACTACCCCACTAGGGCAGCTGAGGTAACTGCATCACCTGGGCAACTTTACTGTCACATGGGATCAGTGTGAGGCTTGACCTGATGGTACTTAACTATGTATACATGGAGAAAAGTACATAGTTAAGTTGAGCAAGCATCCATAGCATATCCCAATTACAAAAAGGATGAGAAAATATAGCTAATACTGGAAAATTTCAAGAGAGAAATTATGTCTACTTATGTTTCTGCAGGTAACATCTAGCAAGTTTAAAGGTAGACTGTTGGTAATTATCTAGTAAAAAAATAGTATGTGAATTCTTTTTGGCCCTGTTTAATAATTTGAAACTAATGGTGGGCTCACAGGTTTAGTCTAGGAAAGCTAAAAATAAGAACACCAGATGTGTAACATCTAGAATGGAGATTATATAGGCTGTGAAGAGTACTGCATGAAGAACAGCAGTAAGACTAGCATTATCTATGTCAAAGGTACAGATTAATGCTAAGTCATACTGCTATAATGTGGGGTTAAGCTATAATTCTGTAAAGACTAATAAATGAAATACAAGATTATGAAGATATTCCT